GAAAATTATATTCAGAGCATTAGTATAAGTTAACATACAGTATTAAAAAATATAGAAACTTAAGAAACATATGAATTAGAGAATATTGAAATTTGAAAAGCCTAAACATGAAAAAATATAAAAATAAAAAGGTCAGAAAATAGAGATGTAAGAAATCAAAGAACCAGAAGGGATGTGATAATGGAAATCTAGAATAGTAAATTTCAATGTCTCTACGAAATAATCATGAAATTACATTCCCTAAATTCTCAATCTCCGTAAATTCCCTCCGCGTTTCAGATCGCTTCTTCAGACAATACCTTTCGTTACAGCGGACTTTGCTTTCCGCCAAAAACGCGAGGAGAACGGAATCCAAGTCCATCGAAAAACGGGGATTAACGAAAGGGGAGAAGCTTCATCCGTCGCGAACGATCATTTTGTCCAGCTTTGTCGTTGTTACATTGTAATGCAGCGAAGCTGTACATTGTAGCTGTTTGAAGGCAAACGACCGAAACATCCCCGGTAGCGCCTCGGATTCCAGAAAGACTGTACGCCGTGCAAAACGAAGAATCGAGAGGAATAAAGCCGCTATCTCGAGATACCGAATAATCGGCTTTATAAAATGTTCCGCTGTGCAACCAAAGCTTTATACGTTCCTATAATCTTTAAATGGGGGCGACACGAACGCCCGTGACATTTCCTCCTCGCGAACGGCTACCCTCGTTAAAATTCCGCGCTTTACAACCGCGGCTTTCTTTCGCGAACGATTATTAAATAGTTGCAACGCTATCGCGGAAATTTAAATACGATGCTGCACTTATTTCGAATCGATGCAACTTCGTGATTTCTTGTACGGGAATGTTCCTCTTGATTAAAGCTGGAACGCTGATCCTTTTAGATGTTTAAATTGATACTCAGCGTTGCAGAGTTCTTTTCGCTTATTTTTGTTATCTTTATAATTGTAATTGTATGGATGCCTAAGAGTTTTGATCTCTGCGTAATCAGATTAGCAACTGCGTGAAGGCAAATGATTTGAAGTTGGCTTTTGTAAGAAATAAGATTTCAAGATTATTAATATCCAGATCCTGAAATATTCAAATTTGTTTGGTTTCAAGTTGAACATGAAAATTCCATTTATACTAATCTTTTCGTATTATGAAATTTTGTAAATCCGACAATTTTGAATAACAACATTCTCAAGATCTCAATCGACTTCCCTAGATCCTTGAATGATCCATGAATTCCTTAGAACATTTTCAAATTTTCGAATTCTCTTCAGACCAGGTCGTAAACGTCACAATGTGGTTAGGTTACATTAGGTGGATTGATAAAAAACAATTTTAGTGACCAGCTCTTAAACGTCACAATGAGATTAGGTTAGGTTAGGTACGCTTGTAAAAAGCAATTTTAGTGACCAGGTCTTAAACGTCACAATGAGGTTAGGTTACATTAGGTGGGTTGGTAAAAAACAATTTTAGTGACCAGGTGTTAAACGTCAGAATGAAGTTAGGTTAAGTTAGGTAGGTTTGTAAAAAACAATTTTAGTGACCAGTTGTTAAACGTCACAATGAGATTAGGTTACGTTAGGTAGGTTCGTAAAATACAATTTTAGTGATCAAGTCTTAAACGTCACAATGAGGTTAGGTTAGGTTAGGTACGTTTGTAAAAAACAATTTTAGTGACCAGGTGTTAAACGTCAAAATGAGGTTAGGTTACATTAGGTAGGTTCGTAAAAAACAATTTTAGTGATCAAGTCTTAAACGTCACAATGAGGTTAGGTTACGTTAGGTAGGTTTGTAAAAAATAATCTTAGTGACCAAGTCTTAAACATCACAATGAGGTTAGGTTAGGTTAGGTACGTTTGTAAAAAACAATTTTAGTGACAAAGTCTTGAACGTCACAATGAGGTTAGGTTAGGTTAGGTAGGTTTGTAAAAAACAATTTTAGTGACCAAGTCTTAAACGTCACAATGAGGTTAGGTTAGGTTAGGTACGTTTGTAAAATACAATTTTAGTGACCAAGTCTTAAACGTCACAATGAGACTAGGTTACATTAGGTAGGTTTGTAAAAAACAATTTTAGTTACCAGGTCTTAAACGTCACAATGAGGTTACTCAAATAAAGTCTCATGTCTATTAAAATAAACTAGTAAAACGGTGATTTCGTGTAGGTATAAGCACACCGAACATCAAAATCTCGAACACAGTTTGCACCATAAATAACAGAGTGTGAAAATCGCCAATTAATTGGGTGGTCTCGAACGCGTTAAGCCGCCGTCACTGTCACGTTCGCTGGCAATCTTGGTCCTTTCAGCAGCGCGAACGAGTTACGATCAATTATATCGCCGTGTATTAATTGCGAACGGGAATAACAAGAGGCGAGTAAAGGGGAAGGGCAACGTTTATTAACCAGACGATCGGTGTAACTCGCGCGTCGCACTAACGACGTTTAGTCTGAAAGGAGGCGTGCTTGTTCCGAGGGGATCAAAAGCGCAACGCGCGCGCGACAATCTCGGTGTAAGCCGCAAAATTCGCGACGCCGCAAATTTCTACGTGTTCACCCCTCTCTCTGCTTTGCTTTCCCCCCGTCCTTTTATTCCCTCGGCTCTTTTTTACCGCGGAGACTAGAAGCTTAGGGGACGAGAGAGAGAGACGTCGAACGAAAACGTGTCGCGACAATTATATGTGCGACGCCGTTATTATAATCGAGTCGTTTCGTCTCTGTCGCTCTTCAGGGATGTTTTGGCCTCGTTTAAAGCAGCTGGAACGTCGACGTAATAAGGGAGGAAAGAAAGAAACGGTGCCGGTTGAATGTGGGATTCTACACCCGATATGCCACGGTTTGGCCTAACCTCATTTAGGAAGACGAGACGAACGGCGCGAAATTTAATTGCGAACGTGTCTATCGTTCGAATTGTAACGAGGTGTAGTCTTCTGAGCGGTGGCTAGTGGCATTTGTGGTGATACTCTTTGGAGCTTGTGGAGGGATGTACTCGGATAATTTGGGGGTTTGAGAATTTGGGGAGATGGGAGTTGGGGAGTTAGGAGTTGGGGATTTAGGAATTTGGGATTTGGGAGTTGGGATTTGGGGATTTTTAATTTTTGGGGAACTGGGAATTTGGAAAATGTGGAATTGGGGGATTGGGAATTTGGGAAACTTGGAATTGGGGAAATGTGGAATTGAGGGCATGGGAATTGGGGAAATTTGGAATTGGGGGGTTGGGGATTTGGGAAATTTGAAATTGGGGAAATGTGGAATTGGGGGCATGGGAATTGGGGAAATTTGGAATTGGGGGGTTCGGGATTTGGAAATTTTGGAATTGGGGATTCGGGGATTTGGGAAATTTGGAATTGGGGAAATGTGGAATTGGGGGCATGGAAATTGAGGGCATGGGAATTGGGGAAATTTGGAATTGGGGGGGTTGGGGATTTGGGAAATTTGGAATTGGGGATTTGGGGATTTGGGAAATTTGGAATTGGGGGCATGGAAATTGAGGGCATGGGAATTGGGGAAATTTGGAATTGGGGGGTTGGGGATTTGGGAAATTTGGAATGGGGGGCTTGGGAATTGGGGAAATTTGGAATTGGGGAGTTGGGGATTTGAGAATTTTGGAATTGGGGAAATGTGGATTTGGGGGCATGGGAATTGGGAAAATTTGGAATTGGGGGGTTGGGGATTTGAGAAATTTGGAATTGGGGATTTGGGGATTTAGGAAATTTGGAATTGGGGGCATGGGAATTTGAGAAATTTGGAATTGGGGATTTGGAAATTTTCAATTCCCAAATTGTGGGAAATTTCAATATTTGCAAATCCGAATTTTCTTCTTTAAAAAATTACAAATTGGTTAAACTGAAAATTGAAACTAAGTTAGAAAATTAAAAAATTGAGAACCCAAATTTAAAATTGAATAATTAAAAAAAATTGAAACTCAGAAACCTAGAAAATTCAAAAACTAAAATTCTATATTCAAAAAGTGGAAAGTTTAAATATTTAAAAATTGAGAAATTTATACCTTCACAACTCCTTAAACCCAATATTGGATAAAGTTAATTAGCATTTGATGTTATGGCATGCCCAAACTGGCCCCGTCGTAATTAACCAACGACCGAGAACGCATTAAAAAGATTCTGCAACGTTTCAAACTGTCGATGTTCGTAGATATTTTTAATTACCTGATCGAATAAATCGCAACGAGTTGTAACCCGTTGCACCAATCGAACGATAATTGCTTTGTTGATGATCCTATAATGCATGTAATATACATCCGATACTTATGTTTTCGTGAAATATCAATTTCCAGTGAACATCATTGAATTGATAATACGTACTCGATATAAATTCTGGACTCGTTAGTGCACCCATCTACCCGTACGATTCAATGAAACATTAACGAACGTAGAAATACTCATTTCTGTGAACAAAGAGGAATTCTGTAATTATTCACATTCTGTTTCGCTTTAAAACACTCCTTCCGTGTAATCGTATCGTTTGATTACTTCACAAAATCATAGTTTTTCATTTGTATCTATACTATACAATTATTGTAATTTTATTCTCAGAATTTTCACATTATTTTGAGATCCACAAATTGATATCTCTCAATCTTTGTATACTATAATGCTTAGATTCTAGAAATCCCTGTTTTATCAGCTCAATGTATTATCACCGACTCTCATCTCTTTTGATTATCATCATCTCATAACGGAAAGAAGAATTGATTTTATATGATATTGTTAATCTGAGCTTCTATCTGAGCCATCGTACCCAAACTATAAACTCAAATCGACATGTGAAGTGACTTTACATATAGAACGATTCACTCTCACATATCTTTATCGCAAATAATTTGTTTATTTATTAGCGACTTTATTCTTGCAATCCTATACTACCCTACAGTAATAAGTGTTATATAATAACGATCGTCCATATCTCGTTCGAAATAAACTGTAATCGAGCAGGGATACCGTTCCTTCCACGTAATCGGCAGGATTAATTAATTAACGGAATTCGCGATTGTTGCAGGATTTTCGGGAGCGGTGCTTGCGCGGGTTGCGGCAACACGATACCTCCCAGCGAGCTGGTGCTGAAGACGACCGGATTGGTGTTCCACCAGAAATGCTTCGCGTGCAGCAAGTGCGGGAGCCAGCTGGTTTCCGGGGATAGGTAAGATTCGCCAATATACTAACACGGTTAACTCTAAAATGATCTACTTGGTATAAGCAAAAATTACATCCCCAATACCGAAGGGGGAGACACAAACAGCACGCTCGACGGAGAAATTGATACTCCAGACTCGAACTAAGTATATCAAGTATGAAAAAATTTGGATGCAAGCTTAAATTATTTTATTTTTTATTTGTAGGAATTTGAGGGTGTAGAAATTTGGGATATGGGGATTTAGGGGCGTAGGGATTTGGGGATGATGGGATATAGGGATGTAGGGATTTGGGGATGTAAGGATTTGGGGTTGTAAGGATTTGGGGACGTAGGGATTTGGGGACGTAGAGATTTGGAGACGTAGGGATTTGGGGACGTAGAGATTTGGAGACGTAGGGATTTGGGGACGTAGAGATTTGGAGACGTAGTGATTTGGGGACGTAGGAATTTAGGAACGTAGGAATTTGGAGACATAGGGATTTGGGGACGTAGGGATTTGGGGACGTAGGGATGTGGGAACGTAGGGATTTGGGAACGTAGGAATTTGGGAACGTAGGAATTTGGGGATGTTGGAATTTAGGGACGTAGGGATTTGGGGACGTAGGGATTTGGGGTCGTAGGAATTTAGGGACGTAGGAATTTAGGGACGTTGGAATTTAGGGACGTAGGGATATGGGGACGTAGGGATTTGGGGACGTAGGTATTTGGGGATGTTGGAATTTAGAGACGTAGGAATTTGGGGACGTAGGGATTTGGGGACGTAGGGATTTGGGGACGTAGGAATTTGGGGACGTTGGAATTTAGGAATGTAGGAATTTGGAAACATAGGGATTTGGGAATACTAGAATTTGAGGGCGTAGGAATTTGGTGACGTTGGAATTTGGGGACGTATGGATTTGTGCACGTAGCGATTTGGTAACATAAGGAGTTGAGGATGTAGGAATTTCAAAACGTATAGATTTGGGAACATAGACACATGAAAATATAGGTATTCGAGTATATAGGAATTCAGGAAACCAGAAATTTGGGAATATAGAGATTTGAAGATATAATAATTCAGGTATCTGTGGATCCAAGAATATAGGTATCTAGGAACTTGAAAATACAAAAATTTGAGAATATAAAAATTTGCTGATATAAGAATTAGAAATATAAATATTTAAAGATACAAGGTTCAGAAATCTAGGGTTCATCACCCTAGAGTTGAGAAGCTTGAGGCCCAAGGAAACTTAGGGTTCAGAAGTTTGAAGATGTACAAACCTCAGGATCAAAAGATTTGAGAACCTAGTCAATAGATCCAATTAATCACATCTATACATTCCAGAATATTACATTACCACAGACACACTTCCAAATCAAATATCCATGAAATTAAATGATTCAAAGCTATCTGAAAATCTAAGAATACCCGAAACAGTACAGCTGTTTATAGGTCGTGTTATATTTGGTACATCAATTTGCACGTAATGGAAATTTGCATCCGTAACAAGTAAAACGGTTCGCGAGTGAAACGAGATCGATAGCCGAGGTAAGCGGGAAATCGATTGAATCATTCAGAGAAACAAGGGGATTCGGGTGATCCTAAAGGGGACACAAAAGAGATACACGCGAGTCGAAGAGGAAACGCGGCAATTAAAGGTTTGGAAAAGAGGCGTGTCGGCGCTGGGTTGTCGTTTAATTGGCGGGGATTGCAATCGGGGATTTTGTAATAAAGGAGGAGGGACACAATTATTCCGGTCTGTAATGAAGCAATCTTGTTTATGAGCATCGATTTCCGCGGATATTTGTCCGCGTTGTTGATTACGGGAACGAGGTCCCACGACTACAAAGTTTTTGTTCTCGTAAACGGATTAACGGTCGTGTGTGTGCATATACTGACACATACAACGTGATAATTTAGTTCACGGACTATAAAAAGCCCGCGCGTAATGGATTTCAAATATTTATTAACACTTCGATAGACGCGTATGAAATCTGATTCTTGCAATTTTGTGTTTCTTTTTCGATGCTGACAACTGGTTATCGATACTCTCATTCGATGGAACCAAAAACGTACATTTCTACAGATTGTAGTAGGACCATAGGAATATAAGAGATACAGGGAAATGAAAGACATAGGAATATAGGAATTTAGTACATGTTTAGCAGCACATGTGGAGGTTTTGGTACACATGTAGAAATGTAAATATTTATATAAGGATTTGGGTATGATTGTAAAGGTCTAGGGGTAAATACACTAGTGATATAGATATGCATATAGAAATTTAGGTATACATGTGAATATGTGGGTATTCATATAAGAATTTTGGTACACATATCATTTAGAGATAAATATAGTGATCTGGGTATACATGTGAATATGTAGGTATTCATGTAAGAATTTTGGTACACATATAGTTTAGAGATAAATATAGTGATCTGGGTATACATGTGAATATGTAAGTATTCATATAAGCTTTTGGATGCACATATAGTTTAGAGATGAATATAGTGATTTGGGTATACATGTGAATATGTAGGTATTCATATAAGAATTTTGGTACACATATAGTTTAGAGATAAATATAGTGATCTGGGTATACATGTGGAGATTTAAGTATTCATATAAGATTTTGGATGCACATATAGTTTAGAGATAAATATAGTGATCAGGGTATACATATGGAGATTTAAGTATATACGTGTAAATTTAGGTGTTCGTATCAGGACCTGTATGATCAGAATAAGCAAATAAGTAACGCAATAAGAGTCGGAAATTCCGTCGAGCGAGCTGTGAAAAGTATATGAAATTAACGTAGTGGTTTTATGTCGAATTAGGTACTACCTGCATTCGGGGTCACCGGTGTGCGAGACGGATTGGCACAAAATCGTGAAGTCGTCGTCGGTCGCGGCCGCAGCCGCGGCGGCGGCGGCCGGAAACGGAGGTGCACCGGTGAGAAAAGGTAAGGTGGGTCGGCCTCGAAGAAGTCGCGAATGAGGTGGCAACCCGGTCGGTCGCCCGAAGAAGGTACAAGCCTCTCCACAGCCGACGCCTGCCGTCGTACCGTCTCAGGTCGACGTGGTGGACGTCGCCGTAGGAGGGGATCCCTATTCGCCGCCTCCGCCGGGTCATCAGCAGTACCACCATCACCACCACCACCATCACCATCATCACCCGATGAGCCTCGTACATCCGGGACTGGCGGTACAGCAAACTCACCTGCAGGCGTCCACCTATCAGGATTGGTCACCTTGGTCACAGGACACCTGCGATTGAACTTCCGCTCGAGTTCTGGGGTCGAACCCGCTCGACCCTGGCCGTCTTTCGTTTCCACCGACTCTGTCGTGTTTTCCCCGAAAGGACTATCGGGTTCGCGAACAAGCGTGAAGGAAACGGAGGATCATCCGGGTGGATACGGTGAACGAGTTTCGTTACCTGTGACAGCTACATCACGCTACCAGTGCCGTCGTTAGCAAGGACTCCATTCGGACGCGTGTTTCTACGACGTATATGTACGCGTGAGGATGTGGTGCGTGCGCCCTCGTCGATCGCTGACCTCTTCAGCCTCCTCGATCGAGACACGAACTTGAACAGACGTCTCGCGTCGCGTCGATCGTTCTTTCGGACGCGCGCGACTCGACGGTAATCCTTAATCAATAATCTTTGCTCAATCACGGAGAATCGAAGATGATATCGAGTCGTGTCCGGAGGGCACACGGCGCGGGCCGCGGGCAAGTCGCTGCCAGCGGCGTAACGGCAGTTTTCTTCGGCTTCGTCCGATTCTTTGATGCTCATCCGGGCTTTGGTCGAACGCATCTTACGATCGACCACGGCCATTTTGCTTTTACGTTCGCGTTCCTCGACGCGCTGTTTCCTTCGGTCACTGCGGTTCTTGCAGATCAGCTGATCGTCCTTTATCGTTGCTCATTCTATAAAGTTAGTATCTTTTTGAAGAATTTTTTTTTTAATCTTTGGTGAATTTTCAACGATTCTTTGTACGTAATGTACGTTGATATTTTGTACGTAATTTTAATTCAAGTTCTGAATATTTCAAAGGTAATACATTGACCGACTTACATGACAAGGGCTGCAAATTCAGTTCGATTAATTATTTGTAGGAAAATAAGCGAAACATTCGAGAGCTCTTAAAACAGATTAAAAATTGCAAGATTTAAGTCTTCTTAATGGTCTGTATTACAGAGTGTATGAACACGAACGCGGTCAACGTGTTAGTATTTACCGATTACACTGATATGTCAATATTTGAAGAATTCTGAAATATTGACAAATTCTACTGATTTGGAAAAAAAAATTTTGTTAATCACCGTCTGAAATTTCACCACATTAAGTCAGCAAACTTAATTACGTTCAATTAAAATTACAATAAAACGAGGCACGAATAAAATTTAATTTAAATTATGTACATCAGATTGAAGCATCTTGAATCAAATTGAAATAAGACGTTTTATTATTAATTATTAATAATGCAATTTTTGAGATCATCTTTAGAATGAATTTAGATCGAATAACGTGAATCTAAATCACTTCTAATTGGTTCTAATTAAGTTAATTAGTATCGAATTGTTCGGTTTAAATTATGATGCAATTCAATGCGAATTAATTTGAATTTGAATTATGTCAATTTAAATCAGGTTGAAATTGTATTACTATTAATTCGTAATAATCTGTAATTAATTGTTAATATAATTGATGTTATTGCTTATTTTGCTAGATTTTTATACTAAAATATCTGCACTTAAAGCTATTGGAATTCTAAAACATCGACGAATTTCATTAAAATTCTGTGATGAAAAGTGCATTTAGATTGAATTAATCTAACCATTTCAAATTGCATCTAGTTAAATCAATAATCACAGAATTCTGGCTAAATTAAAATTTTAATCAAATCTAGTTTGCATTATGTCGATTTGATTAACATTAATAGAAATCAGATTGGCATAAATTACTTTATTATTAATAAATAATACAAACATCATCAATAACAACAATTATACTAATTAAATTTTTCCAAAGTTCACTTTTTCGAATTTTTCCAAACGCCTTACGAAAACTACTACAAAGAAAACGAAAAATGTTAAAAAATGTTCACATCGTAAAAATTCTCTCATAAACGTCACTTGCAGTGTCACAATCCTATCGTTACAATTTGACGAACCTCAGAAAATTTGATCACCAAGCTGGTTCCACGAAAGTGCAACGAATCGATGGAATCTCGAGAATTTACATTGGTCGAGAAAAATTGCAAGAATTGACGAAACGTTGAGTCCGTGACGATCAAAAACGTGTCACGTATGCGACGAAGAAAATTTGGTCGACCCGGACGGATAATTCGGCGATTGAAACGATGGCCCGCGTCAGCTTCCCCGACCCTTAGAAAATTATTTTTCTTTCAAAATCACCGTCCCCTTCTCTCGTCTCGGAGGGTTCCGTAAACTCATTAACCGTTTCTTGTTCCCGCGATCGTTAATCGAGCTCTCCTTTCTCTACGAACGAAAAAAGGTCACACCGCCTGTGAAATCGTTGAACCAGCGAAATTATCATTCGAATCCTCCTTGTTAACGCTTCGGTCCTCCATTTCCGGCAATATCCACGTTAGAAATTCGACTGCATTTACGATGTTAATTATCGACGAAATTTTTTATGGAATGCCGTCGAAGACATGCGTGGAGAAAGGATGTGTCGCATAATTTTGGTAACACAATTGGGGTACATTGATTGTTCTTTGAACCACTTTCTGAATCTCTAATTCCTCAAACTTGTTAAATTTTCGTATTCTAAAATTTCTAAGTCGTTAAATTCATGAATCTCTAAATTTCAAAATAGGTATATTTCTCAGATTTGTAGATTTCAAATTTTTAAATCTTCAAAAGTTCAAACTTGTAAGTGTTCAAATTTTCTAAATTCCCAAATTTACCTTTCCAAACTCCTGAAGTTCCAAACTTCCCCACATAAATCTATAAATTTCTGAACTTCTAAATTTCCAAATTCCTCACATTTCCTAATTCTCAAATTTTTATCCTAAATTTCCAAATCCCTAAACCCCCAAATCTTCCAAATATCCAAATTCCTAAACTCCTTCACGTGAATCTTTAAAAATCTACAAAACTGAACCGAGAACATCCAACAATTCCCTACGCCGCCATTTTCCCAAGCGTCCTCCATTTTCCTGAGTCCACCATTTCCTCTTTCAATATCAACTAAACAATAATATCTCAAAAAAAAATTTCTCGTGAACCACGCAACGCAAAAGGACTCGTTTATTTTTGCAACGCAATAAAGGTTTCAAAATTCCAAACGAAACCGAGGGAAACTGTCGTGCGACGAGAACGCGAGCGCACCGATGTGTCCAGGACACGCCGGTGAAGCTTCAGCCGTGGATGAAGCGTGTAACAATAGATTTTTTCTAAGTGGCAGGGTTTCGACATCCGCAATAAACATTTACGTGAATGTAATAATTGTGAACACGTTACGATGTGTATCTACTGTCGACGCTCGAGTCCGGTGTCGTTCGAAATTGATGCGTCTCCTCGTGTTTCTCGTTTCTAGCTTGTATCGAAATCGCTTCCTTTCCGTTTCCGTTGGACACGTTTCACCCGGAGAACAAGACGATCACGAAGAGAGGAAACGACACGGACTCCGGCACGTTCGAAGCTCAATGCGAAACTAAAGACACATGTTTTCGGTGTAAATCATGCGGGGATGACTCTTTTGGTTCGCTTCGTGGTATCGATACTTTTCTTTAGGTCTCTCTGGTTAATTATATTGGATTATTTTTAAATTTATTCGATTATTAGTTACAATCGTAATATTTATTATTACGCTTTTTGTCGAATTTTTTGGAGGAGTGAGTTCAATTATATTGGGGGTTGCTGATTGGTCACATTTGTGGGAGACAATTTTTATATTTATTATTACGATTTTTTGATGAAGTGTGTATGGGTTAAGTTATGGATTTGGGGGTTGTAGATTGGTCAAATTTTTTGGACTCAATTGTAATATTTATTATTACAATTTTTTTACGAACTGTGTATGAGTTAAATTATGGATTTGGGGGTTGTAGATTGGTCACATTTTTTGGAGGCAATTGTAATATTTATTATTACAATTTTTTGACGAACTGTGTATGAGTTAAATTATGACTTTGGGTGTTGCAGACTGGTCACATTTGTGAGAGACAATTTTAATATTTATTATTACGATTTTTTCTTGAACCAAGTATAAGTTAAATTCTGATTTTGGGGTTTATAGAATGACCACACTTATTGGACTCAATTATAATATTCATCATTATAATTTTTTAATGAACTGACTATGAGTTCAATTCTAATTTTGGGGTTGTAGAATGGTTGCACTGATCAGAGTCAATTATAATATTCATCATTATGGATTTAAGTAAACAATGTAACTGAAGCTTCTTATTTAACCATTTATTGAATGAATGCATTTATCAGAATTAATCAAAATATTTATTATTATGATTTCTGTATAATTCATGTAATAGTTAAATTCATAATATCTAACCCATCGAACAGTTACACTTATCTGAAGTAATTCGACTATTTTTTATTATGATTCTTTAATAAACTGTGTAATAGTTAAATCCTTAATATCTGCCTCATTGAACAGTTTCATATATTTGACTTGATCAAACCATTCATTATAGTGATTCCTAAATAAACTGTATAATAATTAAATTCTTTATTTCTGACTCATTGAACAGATCCATATATTTAACTTGATTAAACTATTCATTATAATGATTCTTGAATAAACTGTATAATATTTAAATTCTTAATATCTGCCTCATTGAACAGTTTCATATATTTGACTTGATTAAACAATTTATTATAATGATTCTTGAAAAAATTGTACAATAGTTAAATTCTTAATTTCTGCCTCATCGAACAGCTCCACATTAGGCATCTCGATTAGACCATTCATTATAGTGATTCCTAAATAAACTATACAATAATTAAATTCTTTATTTCTG